GCTGGAGGCAGAGCTAGACGAGGAGAGGAACACTGTGGAGCTGCTGACCGACAGGGTGAATCGCGGCCGGGACCAGGTAACCCCTTCCTTACTCTGCATCTGTGTCTACCTCTGAGCTGAACCTTTGGACTCAGAGTTCAGGGAGCATCCTGCAGTCACTCTGCCTCACTCGGTTCAGCATGGTGGCTCATTGTCAGCTTTCCCCAAGTCTGGTTCCTCTCACCCCTCCCCTAGGTAGACCAGCTAAGGACAGAGCTCATGCAGGAGAGGTCCGCTCGGCAGGACCTGGAGTGTGACAAAATCTCCCTGGAGAGACAGGTGAGGGAGAGTCTTGGGGATGGATCACAGGAGGCAGGGAGAATGGCCACGGAAGGGATCAGAAGAGAGCTAACTGTGGAGGCTTCCTGTCCCTCTCAGAACAAGGACTTGAAGAGCCGGTTGGCCAGCTCAGAAAGCTTCCAGAAGCCCAACACCAGCCTCTCTCAGCTTGAATCCCAGAATCGGGAGTTGCAGGAGCGGCTGCAGGCTGAAGAGAGGTGAGGTGGACCCATATTTCCTCTCTCCTCTGGACTTTTTCTCCTCTGGTGCTCCCTCCATCTTCTACCTCAGACATGGCCAATCTGGCCTGATCTTTTGGAAAACCGAGAGAGAGAGTTGCAGAAATTCTAAAATGTGAATGATGTCTATCTCCCAGTTCTTTGGATCTGTCCTGGATCCTCCCTGGTCTGATGGTGGGGCTCATGACTGAGAGGAGTCTGTGGAGGCACTAGAAGCCCAAATTGGGGTTAATTTAGAAATGGTGGCCGAAACCGGTTTGGCTCAGTGGATAGAGCGTCGGCCTGCGGACTGAAAGGTCCCGGGTTCGATTCCGGTCAGGGGCATGTACCTGGGTTGCGGGCACATCCCCAGTAGGAGATGTGCAGGAGGCAGCTGATCGATGTTTCTCTCTCATCGATATTTCTAACTCTCTATCTCTCTCCCTTCCTCTCTGTAAAGAATCAATAAAATATATTAAAAAAAAAAAAAAAAAAAAGAAATGGTGGCCCTAACCAGTTTAGCTCAGTGGATAGAGCATCAGCCTGTGGACTGAAAGTTCCCAGGTTCGATTCCGGTCAAGGGCGTGTACCTTGGTTGTGGGCTCATCCCCAGTAGGAGGTGTGCAGGAGGCAGCTGATCAATGTTTCTCTCTCATGGATGTTTCTAACTCTCTATCTCTCTCCCTTCCTCTCTGTAAAAAATCAATAAGATATATTTTTTTAAAAAAGAAAGAAATGGTGACTGTCATAGACACCCCTCTACCCCACCGTCTTAGGGAGAAGACAGTTCTGCAGTCCACCAACCGAAAACTGGAGCGGAAGGTTAAAGAGCTGACCATCCAGATTGATGATGAGCGGCAGCATGTCAATGACCAGAAAGACCAGGTAAGGACCATAGCCGGGGCCAAGCAACTGCGCGGCCAGTACATACTGCGTTTGCTTGAAGGCCCAGGTTGGTCCCGTCTCATGGGTCTTCCAAACTTAGACTTTTCTTGTATCAAAATGTAGACTTGACTGAAAGGATTGGATTATAAGAGTTATAGGAAGCACATGTGTTTAGTGCCCAGGATGTGTGAGCTTCTCTTTCTAAGTCTTACACATGTGTTAACTCATTTAATCCCCAAGACAAAGCTGTGAGCTGAGGGAACTTGCTCATGGTCACAACGTTTTCCAAGGGGCAGTGGTCCCTCGTCAAGATTGCTACAGGGGAGGGTCCCAGGCCACGGTGGCAGCAGATGCTTTTCTAATGTGGGGACTTGGTATCCTTCCCAGCTAAGCCTGAAGGTGAAGGCTTTGAAGCGGCAGGTGGACGAAGCAGAAGAGGAAATTGAGCGCCTGGACGGCCTGAGGAAGAAGGCCCAGCGTGAGCTGGAGGAGCAGCATGAGGTCAATGAACAGCTCCAGACCCGGATCAAAGCTCTGGAGAAGGACTCCTGGTATGGGCTGCTTTACTGCCCCTGCCCCATCGGGATAGTGGAGGAGGGGGATGGGCTCTCCTGGCTGACCTCAAAGGGAGAAGAGGATCTCTCAGATGGGACTTGGAAGTCACTTATTCCTGGCTGGAAGCCAGTATGATTACCTTTTAGTATCTCAGCCTCTATTCTATACCCCATCTCCCCAAATCTCTGATTAGTGGGGGATCTTGGGAGTAGCTTTAGGTCTTAGAAGAATTGGGAGTCTCTTTAGCATGAAAAGTTTGGCTGTCTCAATCTTTCTACCTCCTTCCATGACCAGTATTCCTCTCTTTGACTCAGGCGCAAAACTTCCCGCACAGCTGCTGAGTCAGCCCTCCAACACGAAGGGCTGAGCTCAGACGAGGAATTCGACAATGTGTACGATCCTTCCTCCATCGCATCACTGCTTACGGAGAGCAACCTGCAGACCAGCTCCTGTTAGCTCGCGGTCCACAAGACCCAGAAGCCACGCTCGAGGCCTATCCTGGCCAGCCCTGCTTTGCCCTGCCTCAGATTCCTCATTCTTTCGGGAGACACAATCATTCAGACCTGAGACAGAGAGTGGTGGTGATAAAAGGGTATCAGTGCTAAGGTGGTAGCAGACTTTCCTCTAGAGGAGTGGGTATCTTAGGCCACCTGAGCCCTTAAGTGCCGAGCCCTTCCTCTTCTCCCTTACAGCGGCAGGATGGTCAGCAAATAGGTTTGGGGGATTGAGCAGGACAGGAAGGGAGAGAAATTGCCATGTATATAAAGCTTTATTACTTTAGCCCTTAATCCTCAGGCTCAGGGAAATACCCTAGGATATTCTGCAACCTTGATTCCTGTAACCTGCTTTCCTCCCACGCTGGAGCAGGGTGCGAGGACCATTATGGGTGATGGACACGCTGGCGTGGCTCTACCTGCTCCTCGATGCTCCTCTTTGCACAGTCATGGGGCCCATGTGGTAGACCCCCCACCCCTCCCAACCCCACCTCCCAGCCCTATTTTTTATCTTCCCTAAGCAAGTGAGTCCAGAAGAGCCTTTCTCTTCCCCTTTCCATCTTCATTCCTAAATTCCTTCTTTCCTCTCAGTGCCTTAGCCACGGCGAGGAGATAAGGATGCTCTTCTTGCCTTTTATACCTGCACATTCATACCTCTCCAAGGACCAGCCTTTTCCCGTCTGGGGCCCTTATCTTTCCTACGGCCCCAGTAACTGCTCAAGAGAGCTACTGGCTTCTCTGCCCATGAGCCCCTCTGAGAGGGACTTTGGTGGCGCCATGATGAGATGGTGGGGTCTGGTTCTGCTCAGGGTTTCCATCCTTCCTCCTCTCCCTCTGTGACTATGGACGTGTTTATAAGATGGTCATACCTGGGAACACTGACAACTGTCTACACAAGTTGACAAACAAAGGTTTCAGTCCTTCCATGTGGCCTTTCTTGTGGCTTCTCTGACCACCAGATGTGCCCATCCTTACCGGGGAACCAAAGGGCCTTCATCTCAGGAGCTTGGACCTGAGACAGGGCTTCCCAACGGGCTGGAGGCCGACTTGGTAGAAATGGGAAGAGGCAATGGGGGATTTATTTCTCCTTTGGGTTTTGGGGAGAGCCAAGACCTAGTGGGGAGGAGTAAGGGAGATGATTCACCTCATTTCCTAAGGAGGCTCTGTGAGGAGCCTGGGGGAAGAAGAAGGCTGTTCTCACTAATGGCTTGTAATTTCATGATTTAAAAAAATGTTCTGCAAATCAGATATTTTCTCCAAAACCAATCCAGCCTTGATGTTTATTTTAAATTAACTATTAAAATTATATATCTATCCTGAAATCCGTGGCGTGTTTTCTCATTCTTTTTCCTCGCTTATTTGGAGGGCCCCACATTATGAAGAAACCATTTTAACTGCACAATTTAGAGGCTGAAGCTGGGGTTTTCTTGACCTCAGTTTTTAGAGGCCTTTACAACAGATCAGATGGAACCTAGGGAACTGGGTGTTTATAGCACCTCCATTTTCTCCTAAACAAGCTCCTGGGAATAGCTAGACCAGTATATGCCTTCTTTTCAGAATTTGAGGAGACACAGAACTGGGTTTTATTCCCTTGGGGAATAGGGATATCCCCAGCATTCGCCTTCCAGGTACAAAGACCAATATCCATTCCTACCTGGCATGGGAACCTGTCCTTGTATTGCCTTGAAGAGGGAGCTAGCTGTTCACCAAGCACTGCCCAGTCAAGAGTGGGTCAGACCTTTTCCTGCCTACTTCCATGTGGACCATAGCCCAGTGGAGCAGCCACCTGCAGAGAGCAACTTGGCTGGGAAGAGGCTCCAAGGTCTTGCTTGGCCATGCTCTCTTTCAGACCCTTAAGATGTTAACCTGAGCTTGGGGAGCAAATGCCACTGGAGAAATTGAGGCTCATCCTTTCTTAAGAATACAAATTCCTTTTAAGGACACGTCCCACCTCTCCCAACCATATAAGGGCAGCTTTGGTATAATAGCTTCTGCAAAACAAGCCCCACCCAGAGCCAAGCTGGCTTTGACTTTGGCCTGGGCGTCCTGCCAGGGAAGGGCACCTGCCAGACTGGCTTAGGCCAGTCTGAATGAGCTGGCCCTTGATGCTTGCATTTCTATGGTGGAGGAAATTTGTTCAGCTTCACAAAGCCTACAGGCTGGCCTATAAGTAGAGAGAGGAGAATGTCTGGAAGCTTTTTAAAAATTCATTGTCTAGGGGCAGGCAGGGTGATTATCTCTTACCAACACTGATCTTCGAGTTGAAAGGAGGAGACAGCAAAACTAAGGAAGAATGGTTGAGGCACAACCACACGTGTTACACAAAACTTGAGTTAAATAGCTCCTGGTGGCGCCCAAACACCTTTAACGTAAGTCAGACCTAGCGCAGATGGGCGTGCCCTGAAACCTAAGCCACGCCTATCTCGCTCTTTCGCCCACTCGTTGGCGAGCGACGCCTTAGGGGCGTGTCCTGTCGCCAGGCCCCGCCCCCGACGCGCCTATACAAGGGGGCGGCTCCGCGCGCGCCCGCCCAGTAGGAGCCGGACCGCAGTGCTGTAGGCTGGGTGCGGCGCCCCCCGCAGGGAGAAAATGAACGGGACGCGGGGCTGGTGTTCCCTGCTGGACGTGCACCCGGAGGAGCAGACCGCGGTAAGAAAATGAGGCCTCACCGTCTCCTCAGCTCGGGTACATTTGGCTTCCAATTCCGCCGCTCTCGCGCCCCGCGGCGAGTTCGCTGACATCACCTGGTGCCGCGCTCGGTGCTCGGTCAGCTCCTGGCCGCGTTTCTCTTTTCTCCCGCCCCGCGGCGGGCAGGGCGATTCTTGGGAAGTCGCGGGATGGAGACTCTTCGGAGGCTCGAGGGCTCCGGGAGGTCCTGCCCTTGGGGAGGACACTGCGGCTCCTGCCCGTGACTCGGCGCGGGTCTCCCGTGCGCGCTATTCAGGCGTCCTGTCGGCGGTGGATCGGGTTGTAGGAGAATGAGATCCAGGGACGAGACCCCTGTGCTCTTTTGGGCTTGGGTTAGGCTTTTCTGTGGATCCTAGTGACTTCAGCGACCCTTCCAAGAACTTTTCGGTGCTTTGGGTGATCAGTAACCAAGGGTAGAGAGTGAAATCCTAGGGGGCTTAGACTGGAGGGTGGGGGCACGTAGGATTCCAGGTTCCCCGGGATAGGCCGGGAACGCTCCGCTAGCAGGGATGGCACTGTCCGCGTGGGGGTCACCTCTCTGCTAGGATTTCTTCTTCCCCTTTGCAGCTTTCCTGCTCCCTTCCCCCTATCGGCCAACCGATAGCTTCCTGGGGCGGTTTATTGGTTTTGCTTCCTTCTCCAGCATCCCAGGCTAAGGGCGAGAAGATGCCGGAACCTGGGGTGAGAAGGGAAGGGAAGGGGCTCACGCGAGGGTTTCTGCACAGACTGAGGGTGGGGGAGAGAAGGGAGTTCTCCAAGGCTAACCGATCCGCCCTGCTCCCCTCACTCCCTGGCTCCCTGTCCTCTCCCTGCCCCATATGGGCTGACCATATGGTTTTTCCCCTCCGAGAGGCAGAGGCAGGTAACTTGTGGCTGAGGGTTTCTAGGCTCTGCTGGGGAACTTAATCCGGAATAGGTGTGTACTATTTCACCGATTTCCAAGCTATTGTGGGTGAGAGTGAAATGGGAGCCAACCTGATGGGGAGTTTGTATCCCTTCCTCCCTTCCCCCACCCTGCACTCGGGATCTGATTCCCTTCCCCTCTTCCTGTCTCAGCAAGCCCCTGAGGTAGCTAACCCAGCTGCACCCGGTTGGCTCTTCATCAAAGAATATTTACGGAATAGTTGCTGTTTCAAGTTAGGGTAGAGATGGTCGCTGTTCGCAGTCCCTCTCCGTTTCTGCCCAGGCTTTGTTTCTACCACCTTACAAAACAGATCTTGCTGCTGTTGAACCCCAGTCTCCCCTCCCCCCATCCCTAGTCTCTGTAGCCTGCCACTCCCCAGCTATGGGGTGCTGCAGTGACGGAAAAAATCCATTTCCTATTGTGTCTCAGCTCCAAGTCCTACACCATGCTCCTGCTCACTGTTTTGGCATGGTTGAGGCAGCACCATGGGTATGAGGAAAATAGAGGGGAGGGGTGTTTGTGCTTCGCTCTGCTTGCTCTAGAATAGATCCAGAAAGGTCTGAAGACTAAGGCACTGGCAGTGTTGAGAATGAACTGACACCCTCTTCCATCCCTTGATGCTTGTCCAGTAGGGCAGAAAGTTGGTAGGAAAATCATGAACAAGGAATTCTAACCGCAGTTTGAAGCTAACCAGAGACCTCTAGAGCAAGGGGAGACAGAAAATCACTTTTATTCCTTCTTTCTAGGTTGGAGTTGAGAGTTATTTACTTCAAAGCTGGGAATGAAATCATCATTGCCTAGATCTGATCTTGGAGACATTCCTGAGCTCTTTCTTAAGCAGGAGGAGGGGATGATAAACATTCACTCCATCATGGCACAGGCTTCGTCCTGGATTCCTCTCCTCTGAGCGAGCCTGCAGATAGAATTTATGGCTCTGAACAGTCCCCAGGAACTGTCATATATGCACACCATTGAGTGAGTGCTCAGTGCACGAGCACATGAGTAAGTAAATGAACAGATGTTTCTTCTGATGTCAGCAGTGTAGACAGTTTAACCAATTGGTGTGTCCTGGTGAGAGTCAGGACCCTGGGACTCTCCTGGCAGTTTCCCACCAACCAGGCCGTGTGCCTTAGTGCGCCACACATGGGCATGGAAATACGGCTCATATGCTCTCTGGGCTGTTTTTAATTGTTGGAGGTAGAAGCAGCCGATACAAGGAACCAGTGTGTTTCAAACTGCAGATCATAACTGTTAGTAGGTCTGAAATCAACTTAGTGGGTTAGAATCAGTATTAGAAAAGAAATAGATTCCAATTATATGACATGATGGCAAAGACAAAACTATGGAGACAATAAAAATGATCAGTAGTTTCCAGGAGTTTTTGTGTGTGTGTGTGTGTGTGGGGGGGGGTGATTAATGGTTAGAGCACAGATGATTTTTTAGGGCAGTGAAAATACTCTGTATGCTATAATGATGGATATATATCCTTATACTTTTGTCCAAACCTATAGAATCCATAACACCATCCACTTCATTAAAGTGAACCCTAAGGTGAAATATCAACTTTGGTTGGTTATGATGTGTCAATGTAGGTTCATCCTTGGTTTAAAAAAAAAAAAGTATTCTAGTGAATGATGTTGATAATAGGGAGGTCTATGCGTGTATGGGGGCAGGAAGTATGTGGGAAATCTTTGTACCTTCCCATTGATTTTGTTTGAAACCTTAAAACTGCTCTAAAAAAATAGTCTTAAAAAAGGAAATAGAAGGAACACTCTCAGAGTGTTAGGATAGACATTTTTGGCAAAACTTTTGTTTCAGTTATATATATGTATACATATTGTGTGTGTGTGTATTGGATTGTGATGTAAAATGTATTTTTTAGGTCAAAAGTTTGTAAACAACTATAGTAAGTTACACTGGCAAATAAAAACACAATCAACTTCAAACATTAGATATTCCCATTAAGCTTCTTTGGTTATAAGCAACAGAGTGACTCCACCTAACTTAAGCAGGAAAAGGATTTATTAGAAGGAAAGGGGTAGCTCAAAAAATATAAGGGGAAGTTTAAAAGGTCTGAACCAAGGGAGTCCGGGGCCTATGCAGGTGGAAGGAACTAATGGAGGGGTTACTACTAGGTGGATTGGTTCCAGCTGTTTTAGGTATTTTTGCCATTCTGCTCAAGATTCCAGGAAGAGGATGCCATTGGCCCCATGACCTCCTTGGCTAGGGCAGGGGGTTCCTTGATGACAGGCCCATCCTTGATTGACAGGAGGGAGATTCTCCAAAGCAAAACCCAAGTGCTTCTACCAGTGGAAGATGGAAGTTGTGTGGCAAAAGCAGCAAGTGTTCACTGCATTAGATATGGTTGGCATATCTCTGATTTTCTTTTAAAATAATTTTTCAGCCCTGGTTGGATGTCATCCCATGCAACCAAAGGTTGCAGTTCGAGTCCCTCCTGGCCAGGGCACATGCCCAGGCTGCCAGCTTGATCCCCCCAAGGGACATGCAGGAGGCAGCTGATGTTTCTCTCTTTCTCTCTCCCTTCCCCTCTCTCTAAAAATCAATTTTAAAAAATCTTAAAAAAATAAAATCTTTTTTCAGAGGAAAAAATATGCAAGATTTTTAAAAGAGCTAATAATAGCAAAAGGCTTTTAAAAGAAAATAGCAAGGTCCTGGCTGTTTTGGCTCAGTGGTTTGGCTCATAGGACTGCTAACCAAAGGGATCACAGGTTCGATTCCTGGTCAAGGGCACGCACCAGCCCCAGTCCACATGTCTCTCTTACATCGATGTTTCTCTCTCCCTCTCTCCTTTTCTCTTTCTCTCCCTCTCTCCGTCTTTCCCTCTCTCCCTCTCCCTTCCACTAAAAAAAAACAATGGAGAAAAATATCCCTGGAGTGAGGATTAACAACAAAAAGAAAAATAGCAACTAGTTCCCTGCCTCAAGTCCTCTCCATGGAAGTAGCCACTTTCAACTCTTTTAACTCTTTTGTCTGGTGTTTACCCCATGTTTCTAAATAATGTTTATAGTGATGCTTTTTGATCTGTTAATTTTAGACAGCTATTGATTACCTGCTGTGGGAATTACAGAAAAGTTTATACTCCCACCCCTTACACCCTCTCTTTTTCTTCTCCCATTCTCTTAATGTAATTACATCACAGTTTTTGGCTAAACTATGATTTTTGTGATTTCTATTAATAACATGTGGTTAAGAGCCTGCTTTAGGGAGTCTGCCCTAGTGGGCTACCAGGGGTTCAGTATTTGGTTAGCTCAAGATCACTTCGGTAAATTACTTAATCTCTTCAGTCTCATTTTCCTCATCTGTAAAACAGGGATAATAATTGCACCCTTCTCATAGGCTGTAAGGATTAAATAAGGCAATGCATAGGAAGCCACAGTGCCTGGCACGTGGTACATTAGCTTTATTTTCCATTTGCTACTTTCCGGCTTAGACTAGACTGTTGTGCCTCCCCAGAGACACTGGCCAAGGCATAGAGGAGCTGTCTGGCCCGTCAGTGTTTGCTCCTTCTCATTATGTTTGTTCTTATTTGTTCCTTTTCCCATTCCTCTGCCAGTGGAGGAAGGAGACACCTGAAGATAAGAAGGGGCCTGTAGGCAGACCCGGGGTGAAGACCTGAGTGACCTTTGCTAGTCCCAGCTCAGCCAGGACTGACTTAGACAGAGTGATGGTCAAGGTTCACATTTTGGCATCCCCCTCTGGGCCCCTTTCCTTCTCCATGGGCAGGGCAGCTGGTGTCCTGTGATGGGCTCTTTGATCAGGTGATTGCCTTTAAATTATCTATCAGTGTTACCCTTCCTTAGATATGTGCACGTTTTTCATCCTCTCTCATTTTGTATCTTGATTAGTCTTGGTCAGAGAGGTTCTCTCGATGCCCTGGTGAATTTGGAATTTTTTTCCATCTGTTGCACCTTTGCCTTTACCTTGGAATAGGTGTCATTCCTTTAGGACCTCAGAAAGCTGAATTTGTCTAATACCAAGTCTTTCCTGAGCCCCATTCTTTTTTTTTACTTTTTAATGTTTTTATAGATTGTTTTAA